TGCGAAATGTTCAGAATAGCACCTGATATGTTTTGTGTTCTAGTGTTCACTGTTAGGATTGTGGTGATTGTTATTCAACTCTCTCTTCTGTTCCTCTGTTTGGTAAGAGACAGCAAAGCAGTGGTAGCCCTAAAGCCAGGAGACCTGAGTTTGAATCCCAGCCCTGCCCCAGAGGCTGTGTAACTTTGGGCAAGTTCTTTTTGTTTCTTGGAGCTCCAGTTCTTCAGTACTTTGCAGACACTGCTCCCTACCTTCCAGGGTTGTATGCAGATTAAACATAATGCAAGTGAGATAGCTGGCATGATACCTGTGTCAGAGGTGCTTAGTAAGTTTGTTCCTTTCCTTCACCCCACCAGCCGTCCAGCCCTTCCTCTCTTGGGGTTTCCCAGCACTTCTAGTCTGGATTCAGCTCAGCCAGTGTCTGCTGATGCCTGCTGCTGTATGGTTGCTCAGTTACACTGGGAAAACCATAGAGGTGAAGAGGGGTATGTGAGAACCCCAGGAGCAGGGACCTTCCAGGCTGGATTGGAGAGGGAGACAAGGGCCACAGAAACCTCTAGCTCTGCCCTGCCCATGACTCTTTCATGTTGACTGGGCCAGGGACCTGGTGCTGTCTTTGGGTCATCTGTGGAGTGGGTGCCACTGCAGCCAGCTAGGCAAGGAGCCATGCCAACTTCAGGCACCATCTCCTGTCATGGGTGGCTGTCCCTTTGGGTAGAGACAGAGACAGACAGAGCCCATGAGAAGATGGTGCCCATGCTTGCTCATACAGGCCAAGAGAGAAGCCTGGTGATAGCCAGGGACAGAAACTGGTACAAGAGCCCTGGGCCTATATCCAGGCAGCAGACATTAGAGGAATTCTAGGCATTGCTACAGCCTACACAGTTCCCAGGTCTGGGAGGGGGAGGGGGGTTCTTGTCTTTTCTTCCCCCTGCAGCAGCTGGTACTTAGTACAAGTTCTGTAAGTATCTTGATAAAGTATGAAGAGAGAAGACAGAGGACCAGGAGAAGGACCTAGAGTGTGAAGTTTCAGTCAAGCCACCATTAGCCCATTAGTGGTTTACCATGGTATTCTGGCCTAGCAGGATTGGCCTTGCCCACTTCTGAGCATTCCCTTCCCTCTGTCAGTTCCTTAAACCAAACTCTTTCCTGCCTCAGGACCTTGGCATTTGCTCTTCCCTCTGTC